TTTGATCTCCAGTACTACAAAAAGAAAAAAAATTTACCACCTTAACCTACTTTTATTTTTTTTCCATCTTAACCATTTTCAAGTGTTCAGTTCAGTGGCATCAAATCTGTTCACATATTGTGCAAACATCACCACCATCCATCCACACAACTCTTTTCATCTCACAAAAATAAGACCATAACCAGCTGTGGTGGTGCATGCATGTAATTCTAGCACTCAGGAAGCTGAGGCAGGAGGATCACTCACCCTGAGCTACTGATTAAGATCCTGTTTCAAAACAAAACAAAATAAAACAAAACTGAGGCTTTTCTCGTTAAAATCCCCATTTCCCTCTTTGCTCTGTTTCAGAATCTCTTTCCTTCTTGTTTCTGCAAAGACATACACTGTTGGGAAACCAGAGAGCTAAATCCTGGAATTGCATGGATTAGAGGAAAGGGGATGGATGAAGGGCACAGACTTCTGCACTGACTCTGAATAATGGGAGAAGGGTAATGGGGGCATTTATCCCTTTCCTCCTGATGACGCTTGGAGAGGGCTAGGTTCCAGGGAGAGATTGGAAGTATTTTGCATTTGTTTTTCTGGTTCTGGGGCTAGAACCTAGAACCCTGTGGCTCTAAGCAAGTCTCTACAATGGAGCTACACCCCCAGCACACTCCTTCCTTCCCAGGTGAGTCTGGGGTACGGAGCAGAGAAGAAGCTGGAGCCCACTCCTAGACTGTGTGGAGGCTGGGAGGTTTTCTCATCTCTCCAGGTTAAGGCTGGACCATTCTATGCTCCTTTCTGCTGCTGGGAAGAGTAAGTTGCTTCCTGGAAGTTTCTTGAAGAAGGAGCCATTCCGTGATTAAGCAAAATTTAGCAACCAGGCAACTATCTTTGGCAAATTTAGCAGCTACCTTTGGTAGTTCTCTGGGTTGCTCGATATGAAGGATAGATAAGTAGTCTAAACAAAGGCCTACTCTCTAAGAGCCTAGAGTCTAGTTGAAAAGATAAAACATACCATGTATGTAGTGTTTTGTTTTGTTTTTTGTTTTTTTAGAAACAGGGTCTCACTATGTATTCCAGGCTGCCCTTGAACTCAGTATGTAGCCCAGGTAGTCCTTGAACTTGCAGCAGTCCTCCTGCCTCAGCCTCCCAAGTGCTGAGATTAAATTTGTTTTTTAAATAGGGTTCCACACTTAAAAAACAAAATGTTGCCCATGCTGGCCCAGAATTCCTGGGTTCAAGCAATCCTCAGCCTCCAAGTAGTATGTCACCATACCTGGTACTTATTCTATTTTTTTTTATTTAAATCTTTTATTGGTACATTTTAGGTATACAACACATTTACATTTCTCATTGGGAACTTGTGCCTTTCCATGATGCATCTTGGTACCTGGTACTTATTCTGATATTTGGATTAAAATCCAAACTTCTCCCTATGGCCTATAAAGGACTGGAAAAGTTTGGCCCCTGCCTACCTTTCCAATCTCTTTTTAAAATTTTTTTATTTTTTTCCTTTCCAATCTCTTGCTGTGTCAATTGATCTTATCTTCTCTCATTAAGGCCCAGCCTTTGTGTTTATACTTCTCTCTCTTCCTGGAAAGTTCTTCCTCCACCTCTTTTCTTTTTTTCTGGTACCAGGGATTGAACTCAGGACCATGTACTTGAGAGGCAGG